CCAATGATGCAATCTTGTATATATTCCCCGGTTGTATACAGTTTTTTTGAAAATGCAAGTTTGGAAATGCAATCTTGTATATATAGCTTGTTTGGAAATGCAATCTTGTATATAGTTTGTCAATCTCCTTGATACGCAATGTTGTATATAGTTTGTCCGGATATGCATGCAACGTTTGTCAATCTCTTAAAAACTTTGTAAACTTGAATAGTCAATTCAAAATCATTGGCCAGAATGTTTTATGCACTGGGTTATTTATGACATCCCAAAATATCAGCAAGAACCCAAGTAAAAAGACCAACAAATGGGTCGACTCATAAAATTCACGAGTCGACTCATAAACCATGGGTCGACTCATAATATCATGGGTCGACTCAGCAGAAACAAAACACATATTCCAGCACACTTTGTGAGTCGACTTATGACAGTTATGAGTCGACTCAACCTGATGGGTCGACTCATGACTGTCATGAGTCGACTCAGCAGAAACAAAAGCAAATAGATTAGAAAAACAAAGTAAACAAATAGGAGCTACGCTCCCCCTATCAGAAAAGAGGCATGAATGAGGATATTCTTATGGAACACAAACATGATAGAGCATATGATCATCATATAAGATATAGGCTCACCATCAAATGTGAAAACACATAAATTCAACAGAGCCAGACTTACTAGTCTATTACATACCAAGTTCAACACATGTTTTCAAACCATGTCCAACATGAAGCAAAACAAGTGCAAGTTAGAATATTACATGCCAAAATAAAAGTTTGCCAACTTATCATAAACCAAAATATCATTTTGTTCAATAGGAATTCAAGAAGATCTTCAAGCGTTTGACGATCCTGGACCCGAGGAAGGATGGGGTTGCAAAAGGTTTATAACCTCATCAAATCTCGTGTGAATGGAGGCCATGTCAACTTCTCTTTCACTCCTCAGGGAGGCTATCTCTTTCTTTAGTTCTACTTGGGTCCTTTCAACCTCTTCAAGTCGCATGCTAAGATCATGTTCACTGTCTTCAATCCTCTGAAATCTCACTTGGTCACTATAGTGATATTCAGTCATCTGAGTGCAAAGATCTTCTATATGGCTTGGTACAGATGAATCTGGGGAGGAATGATAGTGCTCATAAGGAGGTTCATGAATGGGAGATTCAGGAGAGGGTCTACGAACAGGATGATCATGCATTGCCATTAAGCTGGCAGGAATTCTCATCCGATGAAGAGCAGTAACATCAAAGAGAGGTCGGATTTCAAGAGGTGTCTCATCGTCGAGGTCAACATTGAAGTGTTTAAAGATTTTTGTAAGGAGACCGCCAAAAGGAATGAAAGTGGATGGACCAGAAGCAATGATATCGAATATAACATTTCCCCATTTAACATCAACATTACCCAGAATGGCATAGATTGCCCTAGTGAGATCTTGGGAATAGTGGCTATACCCCCCAGATTTTGGAATCAAGTTATAGGAAATGATACGTCCAACAATGGTAGCCAAATCAGATACATTTTTTGCATGTAATGGGAGGCTTTCGCCAGGAAGAGTCATAAGGGTTTCGACACTGGGATTATCATATGAAACATCATCAAGAAAGGTGTCGCCACGAGGAATGCCAATGATTTCAGCTAGACGGTTAGCTGTGAAACGAATATGGCGATGTTTGACACAAGAATTAATAAAATGTGGTCTATTCTCAGGACAAAATGTCACAAGATTTGCGTAAAATATACGCACAAGTGGGGGATAAAGTTTCTCAGAGTGCTTACTTGAGAGTAGATCGGTGAGTTTAGCAGCAGAGAAAAATTGTTCTAGAGAAAAATGACTGAAGTCATCGAATTTAACATATCTACCAGGGAACATTTTTAATTGCCAAAGAGCATGATATTTTTCAATTAAAGCAGGGCTATTAAGATATTGTTCGTAATGGGCATTGCTTTGCTCTGGAGGAGACGATGCACGATCACGAGAAAGAGGGGCTTTACCTTTGGAAGTTCTAGGGCGTTTGCTAGAGGTACTAGCCATGGATTAAAATGAAACCCTAGAAAAAGAAATGAGAGAAGGAATGGGTTATACCAAGCCGAGGAAGACTGAGTGCAGACGATGACTGCAAGAGAGGACGAGTCGACCGGTGATGATGAGTCGGCTGGAGATGAGGGTCGACTGTAGTGAAGGAACGACTGGAGGAAAGAAAAGAAGGAAAGAGGATTAAAGAAGAAGATGAACTAGGGCTTTTGATATGGGATTAATGGGCCAGATTTGGTCAAAATGATGAGTGTAGGGTCAGGATACAGGTAGACAAACGGGTCGGGTCTATATAACATCTCAAAACCAAAACCGAAAGAAATAGATACCAGGAAAAGAGGCTCCCGAAGGTCGAAGGTCGACTCGCAGTCGACTACAAATTGTGAGTCGACCTCGAGTCGACTTAAGATTAAGTCACAAGATTAAATAAGCTTAAATATTTATATTATATTTTAAACAAAAAAAATAGCAACAAAAAAAACAAAAAAAATAATTTATTGAGAAATGGAAATTAACCACTTTTTGGAAATAAATGGAAATTAAGCACTTTTTGGAAATTAAACAACATAAAAGTATAGCACGTTATGTGTTATATTGTAAGTATAGCACGTTATATTGAGAGTATAGCACGTTAATCTGTATAGCACGTTATATTGAGAGTATAGCACGTTAATCTGTAAGTATACCACGTATATGAAAGTATAGCACGTTAAGCTGTAAGTATAGCACGTTAATTCGAAAGTATAGCACGTTAACCTGTAAGTATAGCACGTTAACCTGTAAGTATAGCACGTTAATATGTAAGTATAGCACGTTAACCTGTAAGTATAGCACGTTAACGTGTAAGTATAGCACGTTAATCTGTAAGTATACCACGTTAACCTATAAGTATAGCACGTTAATCTGTAAGTATACCACGTTAACCTATAAGTATATCACGTTAATATGAAAATATAGCACGTTAAGCTGTAAGTATAGCACGTTAATTCAAAAGTATAGCACGTTAACCTGTAAGTATAGCACGTTAACCTGTAAGTATAGCACGTTAATATGTAAGTATAGCACGTTAACCTGTAAGTATAGCACGTTAACGTGAAAGTATAGTACGTTAATTCGAAAGTATAGCACGTTAACCTGTAAGTATAGCACGTTAATATGAAAGTATAGCACGTTAATATGAAAGTATAGCACGTTAATCCGAAAGTATAGCACGTTATATTGAGAGTATAACGTGCTATACTTTCGAATTACGTTAATCCGAAAGTATAGCACGTTATATTGAGAGTATAACGTGCTATACTTTCGAATTAACGTATAACATGCTATACTTTCGAAAGTATAGCATGTTAAGCTGTAAGTATAGCACGTTAATCTGTAAGTATAGCATGTTAATATGTAAGTATAGCACGTTAATTCAAAAGTATACTTACATATTAACGTGCTATACTTTCGGATTTACGTGCTATACTTTCATATTAACGTGCTATACTTTCGGTTTAACGTGCTATACTTACTGGTTAACGTGCTATACTTACATATTAACGTGCTATACTTACAGGTTAACGTGCTATACTTACAGCTTAACGTGCTATACGTACAGGTTAACGTGCTATACTTTTAGGTTAACGTGCTATACTTTCATATTAACGTGCTATACTTTCGAATTAACGTGCTATACTTAAGCTGTAAGTATAGCACGTTAACCTGTAAGTATAACACGTTAATATGTAAGTATAGTACGTTAACCTGTACGTATAGCACGTTAACCTGTAAGTATAGCACGTTAATATGTAAGTATAGCACGTTAAACCGAAAGTATAGCACGTTAATATGAAAGTATAGCACGTAAATCCGAAAGTATAGCACGTTAATCTGTAAGTATAGCACGTAAATCCGACTCTTTAGAGCAAGACGAAGCTGATTAATAAATCCCCTACTATTTCCTTTTGATGCAAGAGTTTTACAAGACCTGATCTCTTGGGATCAGAGCATTAAACTGCAAACCAGAGATCAATACATATTCAGCATTGGTTCAAATAGTAAATGTTCGTAAGGTGGGAGGGGGAGGGGGGGTATTCATTGGTGTATTTTGGGGCAAATTGGGTTAATTGTCCCAATGAGATAATTTTACCCCATTGGGATAATTTGAGTGAGATAAAGTGGGGTAAAATGAGATAATAGGACAATTTAAGTGAGACAATTTGCATGAAGTATCATAAAACAGAAAAAATCACTCAATTATCCTCTGTCTCTCCAGATTAGAAATCCAAGTTTTGGTAACTTGGTTTTCACTCTTCATAGTTCCCATAATCTTCCTCATTGCTCATGAGCTGAAATTTTGTGCAAAAAGCTGAAATTTAACCTCTACAGAGACAGTAGCAGTCCAGCTATTCAAAATTTCACCTTTTCCACAAAATTCAACAACACACACAATTGAAAGAAGAAAGAACCAGTCAATTTGTATGAAGTTCCAAACTACGCTAACATACTAGATCAACCAAAAATAAAACTAAATTGAAAGAAGAAAGAACAAAATTGATCGACCTCAATTATGTCATGGAGAGCTATAATATTGGGATGCTTGATTTTCTCCAAGATCACGATCTCCGACAGCAAGCTCTCCTGCAGAACCAATTTCTCCATCACGACCGCACCTCGGGCTTCGGTTTGTTCTTGAACTAGGCATCCTCCGACCCCCCAACTCTGCTCGTCGCCACGCCATTCCCTTCCTCATATTTCACCAAACTCCCATTCCGCTTTCCGTTCCCGTTCAACAAAACCTCCACGCTCCCAATGACCTCGTACCCTAGCCCTCTCGCGCTCAATCGCAGAAATTACCCAAAATCAGATCTGATATAGAATCGACGGTGAAAAATTCAAACACGATGGTGAGAGGGTGATGGAGAAGAGAGAAGGAGAAGAGATCGCTGGAAGAACGCGGAAGAAGAGAAGCTGGGGTAATCTTGTTCCAGCAAATAATTTGGGGTAAATTTGAGGGTGGGGTTTGAGGGTTCTTTATATAGTTGGGGTAATTTTGGGGGAAGTAGAGTATTTGTCTCCCAATTATCCCAACAAACCAATAACACTATAAAGTTGAATCCATATCGAATTACCCCAATGAATAACACCAAAAAGTGGTGTTCCAAAAATTATCCCATTATCCCAATATTTACACCAATGAATAACCCCCGCCAGATAAATGCAATGCAACAATCAAAATTCATAATGAACAAGGATGGCACAGTAAATCCTATGTAAAGGACTCAGGATGCAATGGAAGCACACAGCCGAAAAAAACACAACCATGTGACCACACAAACCCACAACAGATAAAATTGTAACTAACATCATCTTCTAGTTCTCTGCAAATCAAAGTTGTCCGCCACCGCAAATGAACTTTGGATTGGCTTACATCTATAAATATATGGTCTCCGACATATAATATCTCATCGCCATGAACACCAAGGGATTTCTCTACCATCTGAGCACTTCCACCTGAGTATAAGCCACCTGTAGAATGATAGAAAAACACCAAGGGATTTCTCTACCATCTGAGCACTTCCACCTGAGTATAAGCCACCTGTAGAATGATAGAAAAATGAAACAGTAACCAATCATGAACAAACCTGTCCTTGAACTCACAGACTAGCTATATGGTGTCAATTAGATGACTGCTATAGTTCATTCCAAGGACAAAACTTGACCAGCTTGGACCAGATTGGGCTTGGGACAAACCCAAATGAAAATTGGCTGGGTCTGGTTAATCTTGGAAGATGATGGATTGTACATGATAGTCTAGTTGAGCATCATTTACTTCTTAATGTCTGTATCTAGCAACAAGATATACTCAAAAAAATTCAGCATGATGCAACTTATAGTTTTGTGACACTGAGCTAAGCAAAACATACCTTTACATGAATTGGGCAACTAGAACTTACTAACAAGAATACAATTTCACAAAAGCCAGAATGTAGCACCTGAACATGCCTTAAAGCTGGGGCGCATTAGTCCATCATCTGTTACTACTTCATACAAAGGGTGCGACATTTGAAAAAATTCAGGCTTCCTTGCGGAGACAATGACCTGTGAAGTGTCCGTAGGAAATTTGTTAAATAAGAACAGCTTCACTGAAGTCTTGATGCTAATATGATCGCCTGATTGATTCATAGCATCATACTATTGAACTAGATAATGCACGTGAAAACAAGTTGCAGTTAAATATTCTCATAAACCTCACCATGTCAAAAAGGTCACGCCATGTCATATCATTAGGAAGAAACCTACTTGTCCATGGAGCTTTATTATGCTCTAAATTAAAGGGATTGCAAATTGGTCAGAATAGGTCAAAAATGAGAAGACCCTTTGAAAATTGGTTCGTGACCAAATGCGCAAGTACAGTATTTTCTGCTGCTGGATATCTTTACATTGAGATATGATCATCAAATTAATGTCCATTAGGATCTTCATGTTTATTTCTGCTGGATATCTTTCCATAGATACATGATCCTCAATATTTGATAAAAGCATAGAGATTTAATTAACTATGATGTCATCCTCAAATATTTATTGAGATTAATATCCTCAGAATTGAATAGCTAAGTACAATGGACACCTGGAAGCGACCTTAATTACTCATTTGTTCAACAGAAATTCATACTAGTTGATGTTCCACTTAATCAGAACAAGTATAAAACAGATATCATTTAATCTGAAAGGTAAGAAGCAGCAATATTTATGCAAATAAGCACTATATGACATGTCTTGAACTATTAAGAAGCTAGAGAGGCTGATGAATGTGGAGGTTTTACTTTTTTAAATTTCCTATCCAAAGTAGAATAGGAGAAAAATATACAGTAGATGGTCAAAAAGAGAAAACTACATGAAAAAGAGAGTAATCATCTGCATATACATTACAGCTTCTGACACAGAGAGAAGAGAGTATTCATAAATTCCCATTGACTTTCCTTTCGAAGATCAACCAGTTCTCTCCCATAAATCTCGCTTTTGTATACACAGGGTTATATGATTAGAAGAAGCAAAAGAAGAAGGTTATATCAACTTTGACTGCCAAAAGCTATGACACACAAAATAATTACATAACATGGACATATAGAAATACCTTACAGCCTTAGTTGACAGCATATTGGTACCATGCATAGCCCGCTTCACATAGCCAAAGCGATCAGCCCTAACTAAATTGCCTCTCTCTTTATCCATGATGAGACCTCTGATAACCTACAATAACAGGGAAGTCTAAGGCTTCTTCTGTACACCAGAAGGTAACCAACTTGCCGAGTAAATCTCTTCGCACTAAGTTAGTCTTAGTCTACCCACAATTACTATATGAGTAAGATATAAGAACTTACAAATATTACAAGAATAAAAAGCCAAATCTCTTCATAAAAACCAGTAAAAAGCCAGTAGTCCATGAGAACGATGGGGGTCTCTTCATAAGAACTGATCCAAATTGTAAAGACTAGTAATTATGCGTAAGACAAATCTCAACCCCTTTCAAAGATATGTAGAATTCATACTTGAGGATTCGATAGGTGCATCTCAACTGTCATCATCAACACAAATAACTAGGTAGCAAAGCAACAAAATGACATCCCAATCATAAAGCATCCAGTTTATTGAGTTGGTACCTGACCAGTAACGGCATCCCATAGATGAATAGGATGATCTCGCGTAGTGCTTACGAAAACACAAGTGGCAGGGTCTGGAGCATAAGCAAAACAAATTGGACCCACTAAGTCAGTTATATCAAAACATATGTACGGGTTATCTCCCCCGTAATTACAGTATAGCATTGCAGTTAGTCTACCTGACGAAGACGTGTACGGGTACCAACAGTAGTCATAAACGGTCTTTACTTCAGTGACTATGAGATCGGAAACTACTATAGGAATCTATTGCAAGAAACAAGATACAATACCTGTTAAGAAGAAATTCGTACATGTTTCTGTAATAAAATATACATGCAAAATTTCAAACTCAAATTGCAGTCCTCATTAGTTACATAAGACCTTGATCGCCTAAACGAGCATCAGATTCCCAGCCCCTGCGCTTGCTATATGCTTCCTGGGGTCTGATCAGAGGAGCAAAAAAGCACAATTAGCAGCAGAAGATTAAGTTCGTAGGATAGTCAAATTCAGTTGAAGAGACTGCTCACAGAGAGAAGAGGCGGAGAGTGTTGTCATCGGAGCTTGTCAAGAAGCAAGAGCCATCAGGGGACCATTTCACCCCTTTAGAGCATCTCCAACCATAAAACCCAAAATGGTGTAGTTTTTACACCAAGTTGGTATAGTTTTTACACCAAATCACTATTCCATCTCCAACCCATTACACCAAATGTTACACCAAAAAGAATATTCCTTTTATTATTCTTATCTTTTAACATTTTTATCTATTTAAAATATTTAACAAATTATATAATTATATAATACATTACATATAATTAATTATAATAATATATTTTATGAATAAAATAAAAATATAAAAATTAAATGCTAAATCAAATTAAAATATTACTTTCATAAATTCAACTAAAGATTACATTTAACATCACAAAAGAAAACATCACACTTGCAAGCAAAAAAAAATAAAAATAAAAGGCATTACATTTAACATAAAATCTGCCGTTAGGGCTAGGGTTAGGGTTTGCTCGTCAAAACTGTTCGAAGAAGTGGTAAACCACTACTACAATTGGGTCTATTAGCAACACTATTTTAGTTAATTGTTTCTAATAGAACCTAATTTAAGTGGGTCTAACAATATCTTTCTATTTGAAACGGGCCCATCTAAGGGTCTAACAATATCTTTCTATTTGAAACGGGCCCATCTAAAAACTTAATTAAATTTAATTATAAAATAATGTATTTCTTTAAAATAAATGGGAAAGGAGAAGAGTCTGGAACGGAGATATTTTTGGCGGGGGATAGATCTCACGCGAAATTGTTTCGGCGCTTCTAAATTTATCAACAAAAAAAAATCTTTTCCCTCCGATTATTAATGGAAATTTTTTTTCCCTCCGATCTCTATCAAATCGCTTCAAGAAATTAGGAATAGAGGGAAACCCTTCGACATCTTCTCTGCTCCCACTCGCTCAGGTAGAACCGCCTCTTCTTCTACTTCTAAATCGCTCATCATAAATCTTTCTTAATCTTTGATTTCTTGCATTTCTCTCTATAGTATTGCTGAATTAGATCTGTTTTTTATTTTTTTCATGCTTGTTGGTCAACATAAACGATTTTGAACTGCTATTTGGGAATTTTTTTTTTGATCTTGTTTAAAGATTGAATTTTGGACTTGGATCTTCAAGGAGTTGGTTATTCTTGATGGGTTTGTAAAAATTGGACATTTTTTCATATTATTGTTGTAATTCTATGTTCTTTTTATTTGGTCTTTCAAATTAATAATCCTTAAAACTGTGGATACTAGAGCTTTTATTGCAAAATATCAGTAATATTCTCTAATTTCATGTTGATTAATTTGAGAATCAATATGTGCCAAGTGAAAATTTCCAAGAAAACGCATACAATTTGAATATATCTTTAGGACCATAAAAATATAATTTTTTTATCATGGTTTTATTTTAGTATCTAATTTAAATTTTCCTTATCAATTTCTATTTTTGTTTACCTTTTTTTTACAGAGGAATCCTAATTTTCTAACTCGAAAATTCTTAATCATGTTCTAAAGGACGTGCTTCTCATTGCCTACTATAATTCTTTTACAAGTAAGATTATATATTTGATTTTTTCTTTATGATTTTTAAATTATTTCTTTACAGAGTATGTTGTGATTCATTAGATTTTGTATGTCCATATACATTGTTTCTCTTGACAGAATCTGAAGTTATTGCTTAAGTTTTTAAAATGTAATATGTTCAGAATTCCTAGCATTTACTTGAATTGATTTTCGGGCCGGCTCTGTAGGTGGCTCTGGCTTTACCGATTTACTACATGCCAATGTCCAGTTGCTAAAGATAGTTTTTCTCGAGATTTCTTGTCATCCACATGATTCGAACTTGACAGGTTTAAAATCTAAAGATTTCAGCAAACCCAACTGAACCATAGCTGTCTCCTTTTGATCTTTCTCAATTGGTTCTGATTTTATAGTTGTACCATTATCCAATGGTGGGCTGATAGTAGACATCACATGCTTAGTAGCAAGGCTTAAAAATGACTTGTCTATAATAGCTTCATGTTTTCCTAATGAAATGCAAGGATCGGGTAAAGAAGGCAGCTTAAGCTGCAACTCTATGGAAGCCTCAGGATTTGAATCAACTTTTTGTCGCCCACTACTTCCTGATATTATATCATTTCCATTGTGTTCCCTAAATAACATTTGTTTCCAACCTCTTTGCTAGATGCCTCTAAGAACTAGGCTGTCCTGATCACCAATTTTATTATTCAGTAAAGAATCTGCAGAAGAATCTACCCATGTGTCCATCATCGTATTCAAATCCCAATTTGATCTATTTAGATACAGAATACCAAAGTCTGCTTTATTTTTTGCATTCCTAGATTCACTTTCGACATTCTTCAGCTCTAACCCTTCTTGTTTGAAAGAGACTCATTCTTTGTGAGTAACCTTACCTTCAGTGTTCCCCTGTCTAGACACCACAAAAGTCTATTTTGTTGCAGAACTAATTACTTTGCTTCTAGTCACCGGCGATGTTGCACATTTGTTGCTAAAAACCATGTCTTGTGTATTAGCAGTTTCATCAATAGAATTAGCACCCAAGTACAACCCGGATCCTTGGCCATTACAATCAGGCAGCATTTCAAGCTTCAGAATGATGTTTTAGTCTCTAGTATTTGACTTTTCACAAGGTTCAATCAAACAATCTTTCCCTGTTACAGAACCGACGTAGGCAGGATCACGTGTGGGCTTCTAAATAGGAGACTCATGCTTTAAGGACACAAAATCCTTTTCAGATATGCTACAATCTGTTGGCTTTGCCTTTTCATAAGGTTCAATTAAACTTTCCCTGTTATAGGACTAACTTGGGCAGGATCACATCTCGACTTCGAAATAGGAGACTCAAGCTTTAAGGACCCAAAATTCTTTTCAGATATACCACAACCTGTTGGTTTGGTAATGACAACACACTAGGCTCACAAGCATGTTCACCTATCTCAACATTCACTTTAGCAGTGGTACCTCCAATTTTACAAAAAGGAGAACCAGACTTTGTGGCATCAGGTTTGCTTTCAGGCAGAACATAATCTGCTTGTGTTAGTGGCAACTCACTAGGTTCACAAGAAGAAACTTCACCTTCTGTAGTACGTACTTGAACATTAATTTTTCTACTTTCTGGCAAACAAGAAACAGACTTTGAAGAATCAGGTAACCTATTTTCTCTTGACAAATTTTCTTGGTAACCCATTTTAGAAATTCGTACAAAATTAAGGTACTGCTTCTGTCAATGCTACAAAATATGGGATACAAATGTATTTGTCTACTTTATTCAATATTTATTGGTAGAAAACCCTATCTCATCTATGTACGTACTTGTAAGTATTCTTGTACAAATATATGTTTGATTCATATAAATCTAAACAAATAATCTATTTTATGATTTAATCAGATATCTATTTGATTGCGAATGAGGTTCATATAAATTACATATGCTTGTCTTCATTACTTTAATCATTTAGTATAAGAAGTTTATTATTTCTTTAAACTCTTGCTCCATTTCAAAATTCCATGTGTTGTGAATAAATTATATATAACCCATTATATTTGTCCCCTAGTGGGCTTCTCAAAATAGTTGAATAAACTATGTATGAAATTATTATAGAGGGAAAATAAAAATAAAATCATGAAACAATCCATTATATATGGTCAATTTAAAAGACTTCACTTTATATATTTATATTCCAGTAGGTCATTCACACCTTTTTCATGACTATTATATGCTATTTTACCCATAATTATTTCCTATTGAAATTAATATAATGAATTTTATAAGTCAATTACTCTATTAGATACCTTGAGAGATGGAACATGATTACATTGTCGATAGGAGTTAGATGTATAAGGAGGAAAATAAACGCTTTGAAGAATTTTTTATAGATGGAGTCGATTGTTTTATTGAGTTTGCACTTCAGCATTTAGTAGAAGGCCGGTCCAATGTATGTTGTCCATGCAAAAAATGTCAACCATTGATCTATGATACAAAAATCATTAAAATGCATATAGTCAAGAATGGTTTTGTACATGGCTACACTTAATAGTATTTTCATGGTGAAAATCAAAAGAGGCTTTGGGAGGAAACAATTAATATGCTTCCATCAAGAGATGACATGGCAGGGATGTTAACATCTATTGCTAGCATCTATTTGTCCATCGTCTTCGGCTTATGAAAATGACGCGACTTCAGATTCATCAAATAGAATAGGAAGAGATAGGAATGCAAGAAACTTTAAAAATTTGATCAAGGATGCAAATAAACCACTTTATCCAAATTGTCAGAAGTACTCAAAATTATCTTTTATTGTTCGTTTGTTTCAAATTAAATGTTTGAATAAATAGAGCAATAAGTCACTCTCCAGTCTTCTTGAGCTGCTTAAAGATCTTTTATCTGTAGACAATCTCGTGCCAAAGACATGGTATGAAGCAAAGAAGGTGATGGATGAAATGGGCTTAAAGTGCAACAAGATACATGCATGTTATAATGATTGTGTGCTATTTAGAGGGGAATATGAAAACTTGAATTCATGTCCCGTGTGTAAAGAATCAAGATGGAAGCAAAGAAGAGAAGAATCTCGAGGTAAAAATGTTCCTATTAAGATCCTTCGTCACTTTTCGTTGATTCCAAGGTTGCAGAGGTTATATATGTCCAAAAAAACAGCTGTAGACATGACCAGACATCACAACACTCCTAGGGAAGGCGGAAAAATGAGTCATCCTAGAGACTCTGAAGCTTGGAGAGATTTTGATGCAAAACATCCTTCATTTGGCATGGAACCTCGTAATGTAAGGTTTGGTCTTGCTAGTGATAGGTTTAGTCCTTTTAAGCTAATGACAGGCGGCAACCGAAGCACATGGCCTATGGTTTTGATTGCATACAACCTTCCACCATGGTTTGCTATGAAGCAATCTTTCTTCATGTTGTCCCTTTTCCACCATGGTTTGCTATGAAGCAATCTTTCTTCATGTTGTCCCTTTTAATAGACGGTCCAAAGTCACCTGGTAATGATATCGATGTCTACTTACAACCCTTGATTGATGAGCTCAACACTTTATGGGAAGATGGTATCGATACATATGATGCGGCAAATGATGAAACCTTCAAGTTGAGAGATGCCATTTTGTGGACAATCAATGACTTCCCTGCATATGGTATGTTATCAGGTTGGAGCACTAAAGGGTATACTGCATGTCCTACTTGTTATACTAACCATGGTTCCATATACTTACCTTGTAGCAGAAAATGTGTGTATTTAAGACATCGCCGCTTTCTATCGACCAATCACACATGGAGAAATGATAGGAAAAATTTCAATGGTAAAGTGGAGAAAGATACTGCTCCTATTTCATTATCTAGACATGATGTATTAAATTAGTGGCAAAATAACAATAATGTGGCATTTGGAATTTTTTTTTTGAAAAGCACCAACACCAAAAGGTTGGAAAAAAAGAGTATTTTCTTTGAACTACCATATTGGAAAACATTATTGGTGCGTCACAACCTAGATGTTATGCATGTTGAGAAAAATGTTTGTGATAACATATTGAGTACTCTATTATGTCGAGATGGAAAAACAAAAGACAATCTTAATGCTCGTAGAGATTTGCAAATTTTAAACATTAGAAAGCCTTTGCATCCTAAAGAGATAGCTAGTAGAGCAGGAAAGTTTGTATTACCTCATGCATCCTATAGCATGAGCAAAGAGGAAAAAAAGATTCTTAAAAGTTTTGAATGACTTAAAACTTCCTGATGATTTTTCTTCAAACTTCTCAGGACAAGTTCAGATTCGAGAAAGCAAGATCATTGGCTTGAAGAGTCATGACTATCATGTTTTGATGCAACAACTCCTTCCATTAGCCATGAGAACATCACTTAGAAATGATGTAGGTCTTGTTTTGAATGACTATTGTAGCTTCTTCAGAGAATTATGCTCTAAGGTCATTGATGTACATTTGATAGAAAAACTTGAGCAAAGTATTCCTATTATTCTATGCAAGCTTGAAAGGATTTTCCCTCCAACGTTCTTTGATATCATGGTACATTTGACTGTCCATTTAGCGAAAGAGGCTAAGCTCGCAGGACCGGTTCAATATCGTTGGATGTACCCTATTGAGAGGTATGGTGAAATGAATTATATTACTTTATTTTATATTTATTCTAGAAGTATAATTTATAATTTCTATGTAGGTATTTTCTTACACTAAAGAACTATGTACGAAATAGAAGCCGCCCAGAAGGTTCAATTGCTAAGGGGTACTTGATAGAGGAGGCCACAATATTTTGTGCACGTTACCTTGATGATGTGGAGTCAAAACTTAATCGACCAATACGACTTCAAGAAGGTCCCCTTGGTACAAGAAAGAGTAAAAAACTATCGGCCTCAAAATTGTACCAAGCATATCGCTTTATACTTAAACTATCGGCCTCAAAATTGTACCAAGCATATCGCTTTATACTTGATAATATGAAATCAATACACCCATATCGAGAGTATGTTGTGTGGATCTGTTTTATATTTTCATTAATGTTTTTTATTATAATACTATATTGGTAATCCAGGTTATATGATAAACTTGTAAAGCAAAGACATTCTCATTGGGACAACCGCCAAGTCCAAGTTGAAGGACATAAAAATTTCGTTGACTAGTTTAGATCTCATGTAAGCTTTCAAAACTACTTTACTTAAACTTTATAATTTTTCATAATATCAATTTCTAATGCATTTATTACTTTGTCATAGATTAATACGTTAAAGAGACAAAATGTTCATTTAGATGAGGAAGTGATCAATCTCGCTTTTGGTCCTTTGCCCGATGTTACATGTTATCCAAAATGTTCATTTAGATGAGGAAGTGATCAATCTCGCTTTTGGTCCTTTGCCCGATGTTACATGTTATCCAGCATTTGGTGTCAATGGGTATAAATTCCAATCTCGCTTTTGGTCCTTTGCCCGATGTTACATGTTATCCAGCATTTGGTGTCAATGGGTATAAATTTGAAACCAAAGCCGTCGAGGTTACGAGAACAACACAAAATAGCGGCGTTGTAATTGTGGGTGATGAGAGTGAATTATTTTATGGGGTAATCGATGAAATATTAGCTATACAAGTACCAAAAATGAAATCTATTGTTTTATTTAAATGCACTTGGTATGACTATAGAGAAGGATTGGGATGGAAGAAAGATGATTACAATCTTATATCCGTTAATACATCTCGGAATAGCTACATAGATGAGCCATTCATCTATCCATCACAAGTAAGACAAGTGTATTACTCGAAGGATCCTAAAATCCAAACTGGAGTGTTGTGTGTTATTGGAAGCCAAGAAATACTTATGAAGTTCCTGAAGAGGGGGCAACATACGGAAGAGGAAATTGAAGATGAAGATATTAATTATGTTCAGAGCATCGATCCATGTATCCCTTCAGAAGGCATTACAATTGATGATGGTAATATTGAGTGGGTTAGAAAAGATATTGGAATTGGCACATTTGTAAGTCAAAAAGATCTCGAGGGGGCTAAAAGTTTTCTTGGGAAGAATAAAAAGAAATCATGGGAAGAATAAAAAGAAATCTCAAGTATTTTAGATGATATTTTATTTTAATTAAAAATTTATTCATATTATTTATTCTTTGTGCTTATCTTTCATTTAATACTCTAATTCAATTGAATGCACATAAGGTACTTGATGGTTAATTTATAGGGATATATTAGAAAATGATAAGCGAATAGATAACTGGATGCAGATTATGATTTTTTTTAGTTTAGTTATCTACCAAACTAGAATTTTATTTAATTAACTAAGCCTACCATTAAGCTATACTACCCAAGTACTTTTCTGTAATTTTTATTATAGCAAAAGAAGAATGCACATAAACATGCTATACTACCCAAGTTTTAGGTGTTAATTATTAGCTTTAAATCAAAGTTCCTCTTATATTTAAATTGAGAAATAAATTTTAACTCATAAATTATATATGCTTAGGTAATTGTATAAATCCTCTCTTAATTGTTATAAATATTTATGAATATTAATGAAAGGAAAATTTTCAGATAATACAACATGCCGCCTAAACAGGCGATCATGATGATGAAGAAGAGAACAAATATCATCAGGAAGAAGAAAAGAATATATGCTGAACCTAGCTCACAAAACTTTGAGGATACAAATAACACTAAGCCACCAGATTATCATCAGAAAACAATTGATGGAGGTAATTGTCTTATTTATTGAAAAACTAAGAGTTTAGATATAGCCTATGACTTTTTTCAGTTTTAATGATTGTGTTGCATATTTTGAGAACACGTAGATTTTTCCAGCTTGGACCTATCATCTATGGCTAACCATACAAGTAGTAGAACTTCAGCGCATGTCTCAGGTGGTGATTTCTTTGTGCATGTCCCAGGTGGTGATTTTTTTCTCATTAGTGACTTTTCGAGTAGTAGTGTTGCTTGGGCACATATTTTTACAAATGTCATTCATAAGTATGGCATGCTCTAAGCTCTAAATATGTTGGTATTTAGTCATCTTCAGTTAGGAGCTCTAAATATGTTGGCATTTAGTCATCTAAACTTTTGGAGCCTTTTTTTTCATGAGCAAATAGTCAATTTATAATTTTATTATATCATTCTTTGTCTTTTAGCTTCCTAATCTATTCGTCCACAACGGACTGCGCCCTCGATATATCGTCGTAATGTTGTTCCTCTGACTCCTATTATTGATGATGACACCTATTTTTAATAATACAAGACCAGCCGTTAGTGTCCTTGATGGGGATACTCACTCTGTTGAGAACACAATCAATCTAGAGGTTCCTGTAGGTAATTTTTTTTGGTTATCAATCAATTAACTTCTGTTATGATAGTATAAAAATATTTTGAAGTGTCCATGGCAGAGCATGAAATTACAATAGTTAACTGGCAAGTCCAAACCTCTCAAACAAGTTCCTATATATGAACTCTCATAATAATAATAACAGTAAAATGAAGGAAAAATTTATTACCGTTGCATGTGAAGGGAGAATTAGCCCTCCTGGCTTATGCCATTTGTCTCTGGCAAAAATGACGCTGCCCAGCATACTCTACACCAAACTTCAGATAATCAGGAGAAAATGCAAGTTATAAGAAAATGAACTTTTAACTAGGGCATCTCCAGAGCAAGATAACACTTTGGGCACCTATTCAACTGCATATATTTTCTGAACGCAACAGTTAAATTTTTAAGTTCAAATTCAGAAAATTGTAGGCATACCTCATATACAAGCATGTATCCCATCCATTCAGAAGTAATGACATCAACCTTCTCCTCAATGGTGACCTCCTATGTTCATTAATATTCATTAGAAAGAACTTCAATTAACTTCTGTTATGATAGTTTTGTTTGTAAAATAAACCAATAGTATGGACTAACGTATTCAATTGTCATAAGCATGTTTAAGCAGCTAATGAGAATGGCAAAAAAGCTAACAGGAAACCCACTAAGCTGGAAACCTTTCGTCCTCCTCCTGGACAAAAGCATATAGTAACATGGATTAGTGGACAACATATAAGTGATACCGCATTTCATCTTTCACAGGAGCTTGGGTATTACGCACGAATGGGCAACTTATTTCCTTTACATAAGGAGTGGAATGATGAGTCCTGAGAAAAGATGGATGATATTATGGAGCTTCTAAAGGTAAATTTTAATTATTGATTGATTTGTACTTCTAAATTAATTTATATAAATTATCTAGGCTTTCTTGTAGGATAATTTTATTTGGGAAAGTGGAGATGAAGACCCTAAGAACCCTGGATTCAAGATGCCAGTAAATTTGATGTTCGTTTATCGTTGGTGACTCTTACAGTGCAGTCAACAGTAAGATCTTGGAAAGCAAAAATAAAAAAAAAAGTATTACAAGGAATGGAAAGATGCATCTCCTCAGCAACGTGATCAGATTAACTTTGAGAGGATCACTCGTATGGAGTGGGAAGACTTTGTGAACTATATAGACAATCCCAACAAAGAGGTAAGTTTTAAATTTAGAAATGTATATCAATTAGTTTATTTTTTTATTCAGGTTTCTTGTTGTAAATCAAAAAGGCTCAATTGAAATTTGCTCATAATATATTATAACGAATACATGTAGAGAAAGCAATTTGTTTTGTTATTTTCTGTCATTTCTTATTGCAGGATGAAGCGGCTAGAAATTTACAAAATGTTTAAAAAAAAAAACTTCGGTATTGTTTGGGACAAAGATCTATGGCTCGAACTAAACGTAAATTGGTAATTGGCAACAATAAGAATTAAATATTTTGTTAAGATGCACATATCTAGTTATTAATATTTAATTAGCTCATTCATGTTTCTTTTTCCTGCTTTACAGGAGGAGTTAGATCCAGAAAATTATGACGAGTTTGATATATTTATTAAGTGCCATAAGAAAAAGATGGGTCTTGGAGACTATCCACATAAGAAAACTCAAGACGTTTGTGTAAGTTTTGTTTGTGATTTTATTTTAACTTAATCATATACAATATATGTTGTATGTTATGAATTTAATCAAGTACAAGAGAAGGTTATTAAAAGGATTGAGGAGCTCAGAGTTCAACTTCAAGATGTAGATCTATTAAAAAAAGCCCATCAATTGAAACTATCAACTGTTCTTGATGAGGTAGCGGGAAAGCATCATGGAGGATATGAAAGAGGATATGGTATTGGATACAAAGGAAGAACAATGATTTACCAGTTTTCTGCATCCTATAACGTCGAGAGTAGTATAAACAACTCTCAACTTCAAGAAGAGCTAGATGTTGCTAACCAGAAAACAACTCTCAACTTCAAGAAGAGCTAGATGTTGCTAACCAGAAAATCCAAGAGTTATATGCTGCTAATAAGAAAATTCAAGAGTTGAAAATCCAAGAGTTATATGCTGCTAATAAGAAAATTCAAGAGTTACACGAGGAGATACAGAAAAGAGCCGAGGAAGCAGAAAGAGAAAAAACACGGGAAAAAGAAGAAAGAGATTATCAAATGCAAGAAATGCAAAGGATAGTGTCTAGCTTTCAAGCCATGGCTGGATTAAACAGACAACCACAATAATTGGATGCAGGTACATCATATTCTCTATTTTTATATCCAACTTGCTATTATATGTTTAAAATAGGGAAATTTTACAAGTTCGAATATATTTTCTAGAAAGCTTGTTGTTCACATAATTTTCATAATAAAACACCTTTTGGATTGAATTGGAGTCTATGTACGAAATTTAAGCTTGTTGTTCGCACCTTGTAGCCGAACCACTCCTAATCTAGCAACCATTACAATAGGGAAGACATTTCTAATGTAGGGATTGATGTATTACTTCTCTTTTCATTTTCTCTTTTTAGTAGGTACGGCAAAATCAGTAAGTACTTACAACCATAAGTCATAGTACAAGCATGTAGTTTAAGTGTTAATATTACACTCTGTGCAAGATGGGAACCTACAGTATTCCAGTAGCATGATTACATAGATGTACTGATGTACATATTAGAATTGATTGAGCAATTTATACCTCAGATCCATACATCACCAATATTGAATACTTATTTGTCAAGAACAAAAATGTATTCTGGTACAGAAAAAACAATAGCTAATAAATTATTTCTTTCAAATGATGTAATAATGCCTGAATGCTAAATGTTAGTTCATCATACAATGAAGGATATGTATCACAACAAATTCTTTCAACCCACAACTAGAAATTTTGCCAAATAGAGAGGTGTTAGCGAATACAAGTCGAATTTATTTTTCTTTGGCTCCTCCCCCTCATAAAAGATGTACTTCAGAGGCCCAGTGTATAAGACGGGTAGCATGAAATATATCAATTCCAGAGTAAGTAGCAACCATTCTAAACAACCTTCTTCGGTTCATGAAACTCTAATTATATTACCCCTCACAAGATTTATTAATGTTGCACTCTAACAAGTTTGCAGACCCGGTGCTGAAATCATGATAAAGGAATAAGTAGCAAACAAGATCAATGGAACACTATTGTGCAATCTACTAACAGTGACATGGATATATTAGTCCCAGTCAACTCCATGAATGTAGTTATTATATCAAAACTTTTCATTTGTTTTTTTAAATGAATTATCTAGTTGAAGTCCATGAAAATGAGATAAATAGCTTTAGTCTCTAATCTCTACTATTTTGGAAGGCACATGCATGATATGGATGGAGGTTGCAAGGCGATGAATGGTCGAGGGGACTCAAATTTGCTGCAATGGAGTGGTGGGAGAAGTCATCGGATTAAACATTATGAATGAACGAATTGTGAACTTGATAAGCTATGGCCTCATTGAACTTTATCATTTGAATACTACTTTGTCATTGTTTATTTCTTTACTATCGTATGTCATTTGGATAATTTTTGTTTGTTAGATTTGTTATTGAGTCTGTCATTTGGATAATTTTTGTTTGTTAGATTTGTTATTGAGTCTTAGAAGTTTTACTGTGTAGAGTTGGGAACCTTATAAATTAATGGTTGTTATTGAGTCTTAGAAGTTTTACTGTGTAGAGTTGGGAACCTTATAAATTAATGGTCCAAATTAAAATTTTGTGATTGTTCATCAATTTTTGGATTTGCTTGCACATGTTGTACGAAACAGTTCTTAGTTCTTTTTTAAATTGATCAAAGTTATATTTTTTATAGTGGTAATGATTTGTTTCATTTGAATGATTGTCACGTTTGAAGTGGATGAAATAGCTGATGCAAAATAGGTGAATATCAATGCTATGACTAATTAATGGAATAAGCTATAATATTTTTTGCTATTATATAGTATTGATTTTTTTAAAAATCTTATAGGAACGATTGCTTTCCGTTGTTAATACAGTTTAGCAACGGTTGGAATTTAATGACGTGATTATTTTATTTTTTTATGAAATAAAAATTTAAACCTTATAGCAACGATTGCGTTCCGTTAGTAATATATTTTAGTAACGGTTGAGTTTTGTTGACGTGGATTTTTTAAAATTTTATAAAAAAAACTCTAATAGAAACGGTTGCAAACTATTGCAACGGTTGTTGATCGTTGCTATAAGCTAACTGCAACGACATTAGTAACAACGGACCATTTGCAACGGTTTTAACCATTGCTAATGTATTAGAAACGGTTGAAACTGTTACAAATAGGCTTATTTGAAACGGTTCTAACCATTGTTAATAAGGCCTTTTGTAGTAGTGATCCCTCTGGGGTGGGACGTCGAATCTTAACACTGGTCATTGTCTGCCATGTCCACATTTTCTCCGTTCTCTTTGCTCATTTCCGCCCTCTCTCCTATGGATTTCATGGTTCGGAGTCTGTGTTCTGAGAGAGAGACGGAGAAATGCAGTGAAATGAAGAGGGAGAAGAGGAAGCTAACTTGAAGGCGGGGACGGACGAGCATTGATCGGCGGAGCAGGCAATCGAAAAGAGTACGTGGGTGGGTATACTTGAATAGGAATTACTAAAAATTAGGGCCTTTGAAAGTAGGGATTCGCGGTAGCATTCTGTCAGGACCTGATGAATAGCTCGGGAACCTGTCAATTGAGCCAAAGACCTTGGAAGCTTGAAGACTGATGGTTTGAGAAGCTGGGGACTGATACACAAGCTTTGGAAACTGATACGCATAGCTTGGGGGCTGACTTGCAAAGACTTTTAAACAAGGTCCTTTGTAATAATTGTTTCTATTTCAGTTACAATTGTATTACCTATTTCTGTTGTGCACATGCCTGTAACTCGGGAATTTAGAACCGATTGGTATAAGTAGTGAAGTTGTAAAAGGAATGAAATCATGAATGAATTGAATCATAAGTTTCTTTTCCTCAACTCTCATCTCTGTCTTCATTCTTCTTCAACCTCTGTCTCATTTCTCTCTTCATCTTACTCTTGTAATTCTTCTCAACTGAACTCTAATCTCAGCCATGGCTAGAAACGGAGCTTGGAGGATCAACAGGGGCTTGAGATCCTCACAATTGATATCAGAGCTTGATGGATCTCAACATCAATTGAGGGCAGCCATGGATGAGTTGTCTTATCAGTTTCAGTTTTTTTTTCCAAGAATTCAAGAACTCTAAGAATCTGGACCAATGAATCACAAGATCAGAGAAGAGCCAATCACTCGACAAGATGTCAAATCCATCCAAAGTTCTTTAGAAGGGTGCAGATCAGGATTCACAACCCAATCGAATCCTCTTAGTCACTATTTACACAATGCTATATCCTATAACGGTGAAAGAGTTGTATTAAGTGTTTTCTCCATATATGTTTGTAGAGAAGATCGTCACATTTCAGAAGATGACTGGCTTTCAAGCTCTTATATAATTTCAATCACAGCAACATGCGGTGGAAGCAATGAATTCTCTATAAGGGCACAACATTTATGATGGCTGTTGTCAATTAGCCATACAAACTTCCAATTCGAGAACTCCTCCGTCTATAATGCCGAAGGCAACTCCGATGAGAAGCGATCTAAGCAGCAGCTGCAACGAATACAGGAAGTGTCTTCATTCTCATCAAACCCCAACTCCTGTAACTGTAAGCAACTCAACGTGCTTCCACTCTAACCCTAATTTCCCTAAATCGCCAAATCCAACAAAGAAACCCTCTTCCCATGAAACCCATCTCCAATCTTTCCCAGTCTCTTCAAATTCAACTCAGATTTCTTCTTCCAAGAAAACCCTACAAAAGTATTCGACGAAATGCCTAGAATAAATACGAAAACACAAACACTAGACAAACAACATTAGAAGTAAATTGTTTGTTAAACATCATCAAAACAAGAAGGCCAACAATCTCCCCCTTTTTGATGATGACAAACAATTTACAAAAAGGATATATGTATGAAAGTAAATGAATATATAAATTATAATCCACATACAAATTATAATTCACATACAAATTATAATTCACATACATATAAACAAGAAAGAATATACTCACAATATTTCCCCCCCTTTGACAACATCAAAAAGGGGACAAAAGAATTAAGAGAGCGAAAGCTCCTCCTATCAATATGCATGGGTGAGTATAAGAACAATAATAGAATAGGGAAGACTCCCCCTATCAAAATGCCATATAGAATATATGCAACAAAAGATCATGACAATAACATGTGAGTAAGCATAAATGAAAGATATGCTAAACATAACTCACATACAAACAAGACAATGAGAACACATATTAATATATCATTTATGAAAGAAGTGTCTCATTACACAATTATAAAAACATAGAGTATAAAAATAGATTTATGAAATCAAAAGAGGAACATGAGAATCATGCAAAAAGTTTTCAAATGAAAAACAAATCAACCAATGAAATTATAAATCAAATGAAATCCATAAAACCAAACCATCATTGATTTTCAAAAATCAAGAGAGGCAACTATATCTAGCTCTTGAGCTAGTATCAACCCATATAAATATTCTAGCATCCGGTAAACATGATTTGGGAATAAACACCCAATAAATCCGGAGGGTTATATAAGTGCAAACCTCTCAACAAAATCGAAACTAATAGTCATGAAAACAAAAGAATTGATCAAAGAAAAATTGTTTTCATGTCAAAGATTTCAAAGCATAATTTTCAAAACCAAGAAAAAGAAAGATAAAAGTACTAAAATTCTTGGCTTAAAAATTATTTTCGCACCCAAGTATTCTTGGTGCCGGTTTGTTTAGGGACATGACCTCTATCATTAAAGCTCAAAGTCCTAGGTGATTGGTGTTGATTTTCATCAAAACATCCAATAATCGACGAAAACGGGCGTATCCGGGTCCAAAACAGTCATATGGGGACAAAACAGGACTCGAGATGCCCGGGGGTGTCT